ACTTCTATCTTATAACAAAAAAACACTAAATTTGTAATACATGTTAGTATTCTAAGCTGGGATCATTTAATTTTTAGGTAAAGTAGGCTGTGGGGCTTATCCCTTTATCACTTCTACAATGATTTTAAAAAGCACATTTTTAAAAATATTTATTTATTTATGCATACAATAACTGGGGTACAAGCCAGAGATGCAGGGGGTGAGAAGATTCCTCAAAGATAGAGTGGAAATAAGAACAGGCAGTTCTACTGAAATACACTGTCGAGGGGGGCAGTGGATGGGTCAGGAGATGTCTACCATGCCATGTGTGTGAGCTCCCTAGCTGGGAATCAAACTCATGCTGCAGTGGCTGCAGAAAGCTTCACAGTGCTGCGCTTTACCTTACTGTGCCACCAGGGAGGGCCCACATTTTACAAAACTGTAAAATGTTGTTACTATTTCACCTTTCAGAGTCTAGTGTAGTCCAGGTTCTAGCAGTCCTGAAACCAAAACTCAGGCCCAAATGTCATGTTTCTTCTCCAAAGCACAGTTTTCATAAGGTCACAACATCACACCTGATCCTATAGCCTCTTGGGATTCCTGGGCAGAGAGCAAATAGTAGAGCAAAAGTAGATGCACCTCTGCACTCAGGATTGGGCAGTCTGAGAGAGTCAAATAATGGAGCAGCCTGTGGGATTAAGCAACAAGATGACTAGGTTCAAAGAAGCTAGAGAAAATGGAACAGAGCATGTCAGGTAGAGCAGCAGTGAGGCTGACTTGAAGTTCAGCTTCCTATCTTTCTTACAAAAAAATTTTAGTTACTGGAGGAAGCAATCAAGGAAAGCCGCTTGTTTGTTATTCTTTCTTCCCATCGTTTTCCTAGATTAATATGACAGAGTGCCTCCCTGGTGGAGCAAGGTGTTAAGCACAACACTACAAAGCATAGCACTGTGAAGCTACCTGCAACCACTGCTGAGTGTGTGTGTTTGCCAGCCAGGGAGGTAACACCCATGATGAGGCAGACCTCCCTTTCTCATCTGCTGCTTCCCTCAGCAGTGTGTCCTAGTCAATCAGCCTGTTCTGTTCCCCACTCTGACTCTGGTGAAGCCTCTTACCCCTGTACCTCTGGCCTGTACCACACTTCTTGTAAGCATAAGTAAAACATCTTTAAAAAAAAAAAAAGAATATTACAGAGATGTGTATGTCTTATCTGTCAAACTAAGTCATCTACCATTCTGTGCAGTACTTAAGTGCATTCATTCATTCATTTGATATGCCAGACTTGTGTTAGAGGTTGGGCTGGGAGTAGGAATGATGACACACAAATCTTGCTTAAAGTTGGCAACATTTGTTAGTAAAGTCCACCTTTAAAAGACTGAAGGAGACCTCCCAGTGCAAATGCTTCAACTTAGTTATCAGTAACTATAGAGCTGAATTTGTACTCTTGAAATATGTAGATGATCAATAAAATCAAAGATCACTAGAACTTGTATTTGATACTAAGACATAAGAGTTAAGTGTAATCTGTTATCTTGGAAAGTAGGTAACTCCATCCTTGAAAACAAAGTCTGTTACAAAAATAGCAGTCATATAGATCAGGGAAGATGGCGGCAGAGTGAAGATGCCAAAATCACGACATCCAAGCTCACACAGGAATATAAGACTGAAAACAGACATAGCCTTACATACTATGAACTTCAACCAAAATGAGAGCACCCTGGGCTCACTAGAAGGAAGATAACTGAGGGAGACTCAGCAACTGGAGAGCTCCAAGAGGAGGAAGTGCCTCAACAGGAGGCTTCCCACTCTTTGGCCCTGCTAAAGGTCTGGAGGAAAAGAGAGACAACTCAGTATAGTGAATGGAACCCAAACTGCGGGTAAAGACTGCTCAGAGAGGACACATAGAGCCCTGGAGTTGGGGAGAAAGAACTGGTGACTGGGGCAGCTGGGAGGCTTGCAGCCCTTGCAGCACTCCCTGCACCCCCGCCCCCACAGCAGAGGCCTGAAGGCTTGTAGCCAATAAGGCACAGCCATGCAAGGCTCACAGTGCTAGGAAAGTAAACAAAACCAGTGACTGGCTCCAAGACAGGCCCAGGTACAGGGAGACCTACAACACTTCTAATGCACCCCAACCCCCACAGTTGCATCCAAGCATAGAGGGAACCCAGGACATCAGAAGGCTACAAGATCAATGGACAACTTCCAGAAAATAGGACTCAACGTATTACTGGAAGAAGATAAACAACACAAGAGACCTCTGACTGCTACTGGCTGAGATGACAGATACATTCCACACAGTGGGGGCTGGAAAAACAAGAGATATTGAAACAAAGTATAGCCCACTAATTGGGAAAAAATTTTCTCACATAAAACTAGCAAAAAAGGATTGATCACAAAGATATACAAAGAAAAGATGAAATTCAACAAAAATAAAGTAAAATGCCCATCACAAAATGGGCAGAAGAGCTTCAAAGACACTTCTCCAAAGAGGAAATGCAGATGGCCAACAAGCATATGAAAAAATGTTCAACATCACTTGAATAAGGGAGATGCAAATTAAAACCACAGTGAGATACCACCTCAC